TTTACACTCATTTCTTCATTTCACCATCCAAAGGAGCTGTTGATCACTGTATATAATCACATATGCGCTACGAAATTTGTTGTGTGGAGACAGGGCCAATATAAGTGATATAACCCTATTTTTAGGCATAGATTCTCATAGATTCTATACTTTTTCGATTGGCGGTGCGCACAGGAACGTAGTACTGCTTGGTGTGTTTCAGGCGGAGCTCCTTTCAAGTCTTTTTAATCGACATGATCGAGTGCTTTTCGAGAGTCAAGACCCTGTCCAGCCGAATCTCATTCCGTCCTGTGTATCGTAAGCACGCGGGCTTAGATCATCATCGACCCGCCATAAGTTTTAATCTGCTGGTAACTGTCTCACAAGGTCTCGAACCTCATCGGATCTCTCGTATGTGCAAGACCAAAGTAAGGATTTCTCGTCAATATCAGAGTCATGTTAACGTTCGGATCATCGCTTACTAGCGGAGGAACGCGGCCGCGAGGTCTCCGAAACAACCAAATGCGGCACAGTCCCAAGCCAGCCGCCCCCCAGCCGGCGCCCAAGCTCAGCCGCAAAGCACAGCTTGCACAGCTTCGAAGTGCGCAAAATGCCTGCAAAGTGGTCAACCTCGCCACCGTAAGCGTTGTGCTACAGTAAGTAACCGTAACAGTCGGTTGATGATCAGTCCTGATGCGAGTCTGCCGCAGAGGGGGTGTAAATGTGCATGTCCACGATATATTGACATGGCTGCAGGTAGTAGTGCTGCTGTTGTGACTAAGTCTAGTGCAACTACTCCAGCCCCATTCTCTCCGATTCCTGTAGCTGCCCATAGTGCTCCACCCCTGGTGAAGATACAGCCTCCTTCACTGCTGGATGGCACATGGATTAAAGCACGTGTAACCGCGTGGGTCAGAGCGCTGAATCCGAGTCATCTTGCCAAACAGAGTCAATGGCACAAGAGGTACCCGCTCAGGAAAAAATGGACACGGACATGAGGTCACCTTACGCCGTTAAGACCCTCACAGACCCTCCCCCCTTTTACGCATTCATCACTGAATTCGCATTAGTGAATGCCCTTGATATTCCACCTGTCCTTGACCAGGTTATGCATAATATTCATGGCTGATCAGACACAGAATACCCTATCATACCCTCTACCATCAAGTGTCGAAGCTTTCTTTTCCCACCCAATGCTGGGCGACAAATACTCAACATTTCATCGTCATTATCGTTTTGGACGCATGAACGTTTACGGGGGCCACCTTTACTCATTCCATCGTGTCAAATGTATTCTGAGGATGTGCACATGTAACATTGTAGGATATTTCTGCAGCCTTTCCTAATAATTTGTTGTCATGCCCTATAGAATTACTTTTGCATCAACTTTGAATTTACAAAAGTTTGAACGTGTTCCTGACACGGAGATCAAGTGCTCATCTAAAAAATCAAGTTGAGATCACGATGCATCTGCATGTCCAGCACCGCAAGCCTAGAAAGGGAGCTGAGTGTCATATGAACAGGAACAGTGTCACATACGTCGCGAGTCAGCCTGAATAAAAGAGGTTGACGCTACACTCGCAGCTCTGGGACACAAGAAAAAGTGAGACAGCCATTGGTCTGGCGTGGTCCCAAGTCATCGTACTAGTTTGGCGCAGGGACCACGTTCCAGCGTTCGTGGAAGTGAACACACCGCGTTACACATGGCACGCCGAGAGGGCGTGACTTATCATAGACCTGAATAAGGCTGAAAAGATATTGGTAGGGCGTGATGGAGCCGTCTGGAAGAGACACGTCACCTCCCGACAGAAAACGAAAAATTGAGTGGTCGTCGACCCATTTTTTGATGGGTGAAACATCCAAATTTGCAAGACTATCAGTTGTAGCATCGGCGGGCGGGGAAAAAGACACCGGGGGCAGCGGAGGGAAGAGGTACAGCGAGAATTGTTGACATAATTAAACTCCGACCGAATCGTGCCGAGCGGCTGGCATACCCCCAGAGTGGACCCATACAAAACCCCCAGAGTGTCCATTAGCCTGACTTTCTGCGATTTGCTTGTGATCAGTGCTTCTTCGCCTGATCTTCCTAAAGCCACAATTGCCATTGCCCAATACTCTTCAGCAAGATAATCTACATAGGCGTTTGCTCACTGTGGATTATGAACCTTACATGCCGTGTTCTGCACAAACTGCTGACCATGTTCCGGTCCATGGTGATCAGGCTTTCCAGACAAACTCGGCACTCATATTATATTCTGCAGCGTATACTTGGCGTTTTGACTTCTAGGTTCATGCATTCAAGTGCCGCACATGCAAGTGGCAGTACTGGTCGTAATAGGCATGAATGGCGCGAACAATGCAACGACGCTGATACTTTATCAGCCACGGTAGCCATCCTCCCAAGCCTCTGCCACTCCTCTGAAACCAGGCACTCAGCAAGCCAACACTCGGGACACACCCATGCAAATGACTCGATCTTTGAAGAAGTCGAGTCTAACCATGTCTCTCTGTCCATTGGTACTTCGCTGCAGGACAGTACCACTCCAATCATGATGCCAATGACTGCAAGTGACGTCCGACGTTATAGCAAAAAGTCCCAAATGTAGGTCTTGCATATTATCATTTGCTCAATTCTAATCTTTAACTTCATCCCGCAAGTCATTGGGAGAGCATAGATACAAACCTCCAGATTTCACCAGGCCAGAAGGATTTTTCATTGTTGTGCGTCAATTCACATACCGTCTGAATATGTAACATGAATATCAACTTGCTTCTTGCAGTCCGGACAAGTTCAAAGCAGGCGATATAACTTGGAACTGTCAGATTCATCCGCACGGCACACTGTACTTCTCCAGCGAATTGGTTAGTGTGTCTCCGATGTGCTTCTTCACCTATTCACTCCCTCAGTTAATGTGGAAAGACACAAATATGGAAACAACTGAGGTTGAAATCACGGTGTACACAGATACCGACGTACGCGAGCAGTCGAACTCTGATATAATTGCTTCTTGCATTAGAAAGCTCCTTGAGCAAGCGCAACTCGCAGGTCACCTCGAAGGCACCCTCATGGAACTCACGATTGATTTATCCGCGAATGATGGTGGGGAACCAGAATGCAAGTACTATTTTGTCGCACCTGATCTGCGGATTTTGCTTTGGGAGGATCATTTTGAGGCGAGGCGTTTATTTGGCGGGGTCAGACGCGTTACGAGCGATCATATTAGTGCGTATTTTCTCCTGTTCTGGCAGCATCACACAACCATTAGATAGGATATGCTATGGAGGCCGAGTATTGGTGAGCTGTGCTGTTTTGTGGTAATATTTTCACCAGCCTCCCGCAAATGATCGGCTGTAAATCCTCTGCCCTCAGATTATATACATTCCTCCCATTAACGGGGATCAGGATGCACCGGGAGTTGTATCCGAGCGACTGCAGGATAACTCCTGAACTTCACCGCGAACTCCAGGCAGTAATCCTCCATGCCTATACCGGTGCGTCTCTTGCGACGTGTCAATCATATTTGCTCACAACTATGTCGAGTAGATACTATCTTTTCGGAAATATCATTAGCTCCTTTTGACACAGATGAGCTCCAGCGAGCTCTGTCCATTGTCGATTATTTGAACGGTAATGTCTGTTCATACATTGTACTGGACGGGTTTGTTGATCCCAAGTTGAGGCATCGTCAACAATTCTGATTCAACAAACGATGAATCTGATTCAACCACAAATGATCAATACATTTGGGCATACGGTGCGGATTTTACTTTTAAATGTTGTTTTCTTACAATCAACCACCATAGCTCGCTTAATGCGAATGTTCTGTATGGTGGTCTCGTGGATGCCTTCATCCAGATGCAGCTGACTTTTCTCACCAGCTCGAGCCAAGCTTTCAAATTTTCATGGTGAAATAGGCACGAGGCTAGGTACAGATCACACGATTTATGCCGAAGATAAATCTCTCGAAAGAAGGCCGATAGTCAAGTTCTTCAACTTTGTCCTTTTTGGCTCTCCGTCAACCCATGTCAGACAAATCGACAGCGTCTGGGTTGACCAATCTGTCAATCGCCCACGCTGGAAAATGTTCATGAATAGGTTGACAAGCGAGTGGAGTGGACTAGCAATCTATGTACGTTGCTGATGCTAAATAGTACTCCCATTGTAACCATTGAAATGAACAGTCAACCGTCATGTTGGCCGTGGATATCGCTTTTCTCGCTGTGCCAGCGATCGGTCAACAACCTTCGGCACAAATCGCGTTATACATCTCGTCGCTCTGGTCTGTAGCTTCGCTGGTCGTCTCTGCTCTTCTTGCGCAAAATGGTGGGCACCAAGATAGCATAAACCGAGTGGTACAATTGACGTTTTGCTCCCTTATCACACGACTGACTTGGCTTCAAGACTGCATTCATGACGCGCATGACTCAGTCACTTCATGGCAAAGAGAACCTTGCCATTATTTTCAGCTTACCATATGGCCTTGTTATTTGGGGGTGAGTCCCTTTACTGTTCACACAACACTACGCTCGTGCCTCTCATTGACAAATCGACATTATACAGGATGGTTTTCTTCTTTTTAGCGCTGTCACTGGTGATTTTCCTATCTGCTAATATCACGACATGGTGCACTGCCGGACCAGTTTGGTTACTCGTTGTCGGATTTATTGGCTGGCCTGTGTGGGCAGCTAAAGGGCCAACGATTGGACAGCGGATGTCCTCTTTGTGGATAGGAAGTGAATCATGAGACCTGTGGAGACTACAGATGAAGCTCACTGAGAGAAAGTGTTGAAGTGGTGATGCTAGTTTCAAGTTGTCTTCGGGTTCCAAATTGATGTAGTTGTATCTTACCACTAGAGTATGTTGGATAAATTGGGGAGCTCGGAGTAGCCTAAGCTGTTGTCTGCTGTTGCTTTCGCTGTTTCCGCTAGGGATCTAAAGCTTGGCACACATCAACCATCAGGTAGCGATAGCAGCTGGCCTGATGTCGATTCTGAAGGTCTTCAATGACCTTACAGTTATATCGGATATGGTGTAATGGTTAACATTACCGCCTCTCATGATCTGATGAACGCGGTAGCTCGGGGTTCGATTCCCCGTATCCGAATTTTTCTTTGATCATTTTGACCGTGATGCTCTTTCCAAGTTCTAAGAGTCGAAACACTTGCTCTAGAGCCTCGAGTAACCTAAATACACCCGCAAGTGCTGGTCGCTCTCCTTTTTGATTCTCGAGCCGCTTATTAAGGATTCACGAACTTTTATCTAGGTCGAAACTTGAACAACTTGGAAGACTGAAAAACATCATCATAAGTCCGTAAGCACGCTGCACGCTAGCTTAGTACCTGGGCCTGAGTCCCCGTACTCAGTATATATACTGTCATTGATACTGAAAGGTAAGCTTCCAGTAATCTACCTTCAAGTCAGCTGAACATCCTATTCACAGTCTCTCGTTAATCGAACACGCCGCAGGCTGAGTGTGCGAAGCGCGCGGAATATCGTGACTATAATTATATAAATGTGAATACTGAAGTGGTTTACTTCTAGGTGACAGTCGGGCCCGCTTCTGCCAGTTGTACCATTGGTCTTGACTCTAGTTGCTCGACAACGTCCTGAACCGGGAACCAAGTGGACTGAGCCAAGGACTCGGAGGGTGCTTTGAAGTCAGTAGTAAGTAGTAAGGTATTTGTCATGGTCGAGGCCTTGCACATTCGCAGCAAGACAACCAACTTATCCTTAGCTGAGCGGCAGGTTGTCGCAGCTGCCTACAAGTTGATTGGGTGCCTATGGGTTCTGGTGTGCACTAAAGATGTTTGAGTCACATTGAGCTCAGGTGAAGTTACGAGCCTCGAAGCCCTTCGTCGCGATGACAATCCAGGCGGAACTTGAAGAAACACTCTTGAAAAATTGGCAAATAACTGAAAGTGACAGATTGCATGTACGTGCTTGTGTGCCACGGATCTCTACTGAGTCACATAAATAACACAGCAAATCGCATAGAACAAGAAGCAGAGTCAGAAGTGGAAGCTTTCACAGTCGATACGAATCGATAGGTAAAACAGTCTTGTAAAATCTGATAGCATTTACATTTCACGCATAGCAGGAATATTATATATAACACAGACAACCGCGGGAAAACAAGAAGCAAACTGGAAAGCGAAAAGTGGAAGCGACTGACGATATCTAGCGTGGTTTGAGGCTTTTTGCATACTTCCACAAAAAGTCTATCAAAATTGTGCCAACATTGACAACGTAAGTGACCAGCCGCCTGAGAGCGCAGTGACGACGCGACAGATTGTGCTTTGGGAGTAAAAGCCTGCTATCAACATCGCTGTGAAATGCATGAGGGACTAGGGAAAGCATCAAATGACGAAACAGCGGCATACCAAACATGAAACAATTCAGGGACCAGGCAACGAAGAATATGGGGGCGACTATCGACAACAGGTAGGACAAGACGAAGTAGCCGCCGGGCTTGAGTTGCTTAACATATTTAAGTCAGCCGGTGCAAGCGGTATGGCCAGAATGACCCTTACCTCTTGGGTCCAATGCCGATCGGTGTGTACCCAGCGTATCATACTCGAGCCAGATGTTAACATCGCGATCATGGCAAGCATGAGCGACAAAAAGGAGGCAATGAGGAGCGGGTGATGTGTAGTCAAAGGATGGCACAGGAGAGCCCGTACTGACGAAAACACCACTGATAGCGAGGAGGACACTTGCCTTTGTAGAAATATATGTCAGTGTTGGCCTGAGCTCGCACGGAGTTGGACAGCTTACTGCAGTGATAGTGCTGGCCAGGATAGAGCATAACTTGCTTCTGACGGTTTCGAAGGCTTGCTCTGAATGCAGCGATTTCCAATGATCATCGAGATCTGGGCGACCCAGTGCCAAAAAGCAGATTACCCTCATTAAAAGGGACATGTGACAAAGAGTTTCGGGGAGGGGTTGTTCTTCGGCAAGTGCTCTTTTGTCAGTAGTCATATAGAGCTGTAAAGGCCAGGTTCAGTCATGCAAGAGTTCCCGAGTTTGAAGGCGCACCTCAGTGGAACAGGCCATGGCGTGAAGTAGAAGAGTACCACCTCACAACTGACTTGGGAACAGCGAGATGCGAACACATTATAAAGGAACTGCAGTAAGTACTTGAGGGACATTGCACCGGATGTAGATAATCAGACTTGCACGTTTTTTGAGTAAATCCTTCAGAGGCAGCCCCACCCGCCAGATTTGTGAATAACTCGAGGCAAACTCGTGTTAGACTCGAGGATTAAGTTGATTACTAAGCACCTGTTAAAAGACTCTTGGAAACCGAATCTCACGTTTATATTCCGAGGTCCTATGCGCACAACTACGTCAAAACTGCAAAACGGCACCTGCCAGATTTGTGAATAACTCGAGGCAAACTCGTGTTAGACTTGAGGACCAAGTTGATTACTAAGCACCTGTTAAAAGGTTCTTGGAAACCGAATCACGTTTATATTCCGAGGATGCGCACAACTACGTCAAAACTGCGTATAGGGCTGATGTCTCTGGTCCCTGCCTAAAGTCGTCCTCTTTATGCGGGCCAAGGCACCTTTTGACCCATCTATATCCCAATATCGGGAGGGGATTGGAAGAGAAACACGGGATCATTCTCTCAGATCTGGGCTCAGCTTGAATTGCAATTTGCAAGCACACCAAATCACGGATGCTGCGCCGCGCTACCATCACGTCGCTTTTTCAAAGAGAAAATTGGCGCTTCGCGTTTGGGATGCGTCTTGCACGGTCTTAATTTGTACAGCATTAGATGTGGTATCCAAATGCTCGTCCTGTGTCGGTTTAGGCATGAGGTGGTTATACAAATACTCCTGCTGGTGTGTAACATGATCATGGAGTGACTTGAACTCACAAAGCCAGTGCGGAGAAACACAACATTTGAAAAGTCTACTCCGATTCCTATGAGTACATCTTCAGCTTCAAACCCCGCGACGTCATGCACATATAGTAGATTTTCGTACACGCTGTGCGTTTGGAACGGCCAGGGATTTAGCACCGTTTGTGGTGTGGGGAAGGCGTTTAAAGGCTACTGTATCGGATATGGTGTAATGGTTAACATTACCGCCTCTCACTTAGGATTCGCGGTAGCTCGGGGTTCGATTCCCCGTATCCGAAATCGAACACTTTTTGCTCACATAGCAAGGAAAGGCAGCTTCACTATGGCAAGCGTTCTGACAATCGACCATTTGAAAGTGACTCCTGCCATGAACTTAGTCGCTGCCCCCTAGTACACAAGTGACGTGATAATCACGTGATGGAGCAGGACAAAGTTTATAGGTTAAACTTGGTTTAAACGCGTGAACGCGCTCTGCGGTGCCTGGCAGTGACTCAAGTACTCACCGCTTGACTCTGAGTATGGCAGGCAATCGTCGCTCTCCGTCTCCAGAACCGCTTGGCCCTCAACCAATAAGGAGACTTCATGAGTCCCTCATTAACCGAATTGCGGCAGGCGAAGTGGGTTCATCGTGGTACAGACGCGAAAAAAGTACTGACACAATTCACCCCTAGATCATACACCGACCCGCTTCTGCGCTAAAAGAGCTACTTGAAAACAGCCTCGATGCCGGGTCTACTTCAATTCAAGTCACCGTCAAGGATGGTGGTATGAAGCTGCTTCAGATTCAGGATAACGGTTGTGGCATTCGTGTATGTCACGATCTTCCTCACATTCGCACCAAGGCACTTCATTAAGCTTATTTGAAGAAAGAAGACCTACCCTTGCTCGCTGAGCGTTTCACCACCTCCAAATTGACTACTTTTTCCGACCTCTCCAAGTTGACTACTTATGGGTTCCGAGGGGAGGCTCTGGCATCTATATCCCATGTCGCGCACCTTACAGTGATCACGAAGACCAAGTCAAATGACTGTGCTTGGAAGTGAGTATATAATTCATTGTGCACGGAACGAATACACCTGACGAGAATCCTTCAGGGCTGCTTACCTGGATGGCAGTCTCGTCCCATCGAAAGCGGGATACTCACCAGACCCAAAACCTTGTGCTGGAAACAACGGAACCACCATCATAGTACGCCCATAAGAAGTCAAATACCTCTATCTCATCACTCAATTCCTCACAGATTGAAGACATGTTTTATAACACACCTACTCGAATGTCTGCTCTCCGAAGCTCCTCTGAAGAATACGCGCGAATACTTGATGTAATGACCAAGTATGCTGTGCACAATCCAAAGGTGTCATTTGGGTGTAAAAAAGTATGTTGCTTCGAAAATCGCTAATGATGTCCTATAATGTATCGTGTAGGCTGGTTCCCTGAGTCCTGAACTGTCGACCCCATCCTGTTCGGATACATCTCAGGCCATTCGTCAGCTATACGGTCATTCCATAGCTAAAGAGCTTCTGCATGCCACGGCGTCTTCTGTTTCAGATGATAACATAGACATAGATGATTCGGAAGATCCGGAAGCATGGTCGGCAGAAGCATATTTCACCAACGTAAACTACCAAGGCAAGAAGACCGCGCTCTTGTTATTCATAAATCGTTGGTTTCTGCTGTTTTTGTATTGCTATCTTGCATATTCTGACGCGTATTTCATGCAGACCGTCTAGTGGAGTCACATCGTATAAAACGGTCTATTGAGAGCGTGTACAGTGGTTTACTGCCAAAAGGTTCTTTTCCTTTCGTATATTTGAGGTAGGACCGAATTCTACCAGTGGGATATGAAAATAATAATTCGCACAGCATAAACCTCGACCCAAGGTCTGTGGATGTCAACGTGCATCCAACTAAGCGCGAAGTCCACTTTTTGAATGAAGAAACCATCATCGAGCGGATATCGGATGCCATTCAACAGAAGCTCGCAGGTCAAAGTCAGTCGCGGGTATTCGAGTATCAGGTACATCAAAAGACATACGCTATGCCCGTACTCTGAACATCTTCATCGACAGACACTGCTCACTGGGGGCGTCGCACAATCAGGATCGCGGAAGGGCAAGGAAAAGGCGAGTAATGTTGATGAAGTGGAAGGAGATGGCGAAGGGCCAGAGGATGATCGCCGGGTTTCAGGAAGTCAAGGTAAGCGTTTGCACAAGTCTCAGGCAAATATCATTTGAGTC